AAAACTGCTCGCTAGGACCAATCGTACAAAACAGGAACTTCAGTGGAGGCAAAACTCAAGGTCAGCTATAATCCCCGAACATGCTTACTTCAAAGAACTACAACAAGCTTAACAAATCCTTTCGATAGACGATACTTCTCAAAACTCAGGAACTAACCGTGTGGCCTATACATTGAATTTCCTTGGACTATGAACTGTTTAATATATAGATTTAGCCAGGGCTAAAAGCGAGGCTCCCATGCATTAATAAATTTATAATTTAAATCAAACAATAAACTTGTATTCCACAATTCAGTTAACTTTAGAGCACATTCATGTGACTTTTCAGGGAAAGGCTAAGTGATTTTAGACAAAAATAATTTGCAAACAACCCCAGAGTGAACCAAATCTTACATCGAGTTGATGGCCTCATATGTACACCCAAAAACTGGCAATCGTCTTCGATCACATTTTTTAAGAGCCATAATGGCTCTTGATCACCGTAGGTTAATTAGGCCTGGAAAAAAGTTCCGGCCGAATTTTTTGCGTTCGACAAGTTTACTTTACAAAATATTGCCAACAAATCTGGGTTCGTGTAAACCAACCTTATATATCATTTATACATCACATCTGAGGTGAAACAGTACTATGAGGCACTGTTTTTATCATACAGACCTCGGACAACAGAATGCAGTATTTGACAGTTTTGCAATACAAATTGCTATCATTGAATATTCAGAACGATCAAAGCACGCGTGGGCTTTAGCTAAACCGTTAAAAAAATTTCCAAAATCACCTATACGGCCAGCCGGTTCTGACTTTTGCAGTGCTAGCTGTGGAGAGTGTTTGAATGAACATTAACACAGTTAAGCTCCAATATAATAGAGAATTTATTATGTTTATTTTTTATTTTAAAATGGTTTAACCCGCGGCACTTTGAGTACTCTGGGAAGCGTTGTTCACTGAACGACTGAAAACAATCGGCACAGCGATTAAAATTACAAGAGAGACTACTAATAATCAACTAAAGAAATAAAATTCGGTGAAACATATACAGAGGCGACAATTTTCATTCAGGAAGACAAGTATTAAAGTGTCTCTAAAAATCCTGAGTCTTCGAGCTTAATTAAAGCTGAGGTTTTTGTTTTAAGCCGGCTTCCCGGTGTTTGCTTTTTTCAAAGACGAACTCGAGGCAAGAAAATCGCTCAAAGCTTCTTTTACAGCCTGAATTATAACCAAAAATTCTTTGGAACGTGTTCTTTCTATTTGCGGTGAGAAAAAAGATTTGTAAGCTTATATAAACCTGATACTCGGTCAGATCATTGTCTCAAATCTTACAAACGTGCGTAAACAAAATAGCCGCATAAACTACGCTCGACTTCATTAAATTAGAAATAAAAACATCAAATACAATAATTACTCGGGCTTACCACTCGAGATGCAGCTCCTCAAAGGTATCAAGTAATTAAGGCCAGTATCGCTTCAGACTTTGAAACCCTCTTACGCATTAAGCAAGATAAAAACGAAAACGATGCCATCCGAAATCGGATTTCCAACTTTGACAAGTGACGTATTTCTCAACCAAAAACCCAATAAACAAACTAGCCATGGATAACAGAAGACTTCCGATAGCAGCTGAATTTCATTTTGTACATCCAGTGGAAAAGGATAGTTAAAAAAATCACAAGTTGACACAAAACTCTGTCAGCTTCAGCTGTCAAACTAAACAAGACTCAAGATGCTGCCTAAATTTTCCGCATGAACTCACCTGTCAAATTTTGACCAATCAGAGCATAAACATTGGACGTAGAACGTGACCAACGCGTGAACATGGTGAGAAAAGTCAAAAGCAACTGTCTTCCCTGCCTGTAGCAGCTGACTGAATTTTCGCGTCCGAGATCAGTTTGAAATCAAAATTTTAATTGTGTGCCACATAAACACAACATATTTCATACGAATTTTTTAAAAAAAAATTAAGCTTGAGCCTGCGATCATTTAAAAACCAGTACCTTGTCAGCGAATAACTTCAAAAAAATACGTGACCTCGATGGATCGAAACCTGAGCCCGCGATTCGCTCAAGTGATGCCGGTCAGCGGATACCTTGTTTTGACAGCTGTCAATTGATCACAACATTGATGTCCAATATGTGTATCAGTTTTCCTGTTCTCCCAAACTAGCTAAAAAGTATGATTGAACATTGTTCGCGATCGCGATCTAGTAAAACGATTAACTGGTCAGCGGACAGCTTCCAAATAAATCACGTCACCTCGATGAGTTGACACATGAGCCCGCAATATGGTCATGGGATACTGGTCAGTGGCTATCCTGTTTTGACAGCTGTCAATTGAACATATTGTGAGTGTCATATATAAAAGATGAGGACTTGCCAAGACACGCCTGAGACACCCCTCCCTTCCTTTTGAAAGTCTCCCCCTACCCTACCCGTACAATCTGTAGACGCGTACGTACGTACGTACGCTCGCTCAGTCACGTGACAACCAAACGAAAAGAGGTTGACCATATTCCATGAGTATGGGGCTCTGTCCCACACGCGCTTCGCGCGCGCGGGAGCCCCGCTATTAAGAAACTAGCGCGTGCTACAAAATAATCATTCGGATAGAAAAACCTTAAAAATACCAAACTCCAAAACAGAACTAACAGCCACTACTTCATAACAAAATGCATCTATGTTCCATGAAAGCTTTTAAAAATACAAGGTTATAGAATGTCTTTCAAGGTTCATTACAAACTGAGCTAAGCTCCAAAATCACTGTCCATTATTCAGTAAATTATGATGTTTGACAATGCAATGTGCTTACGCAATTTTCCCTACGTTAGAAAGCTGTTTTTATCTTGTTTCACATTTTGATAAGGAGTCTGAGTTCCTCTTTCTTGTTTTGTAGGCTTGCCAGGGATTATTGTTTATGTGTCATTACCAGTGTCTGGGTTCTTTGTTTTTAACGCAAAGTAAGTCGGTGACAACTGATAGTATCAAAGAATGGCTCTCTAGAATAGTAATTATCTCCTCGTCATGTCTGGAAGTTACCTGTAACAAAAAAGAAATGGAATGTTTTCATACTGGCTTGTTGAGTCTCTTAAAGGTCGCAACTAATTGTCTGAGGCTAATTTCGCAAGAGTGTGCAATTGAGATAAATACATTGTAAATAAACTGAAAGAAACGTGGTTTCACACTAGCCAATTTACATTGCGTTGTTCGATGATGTTTACACGCTTTTCTACTGCGAAATAAACCTTTGCATTTGAGTTTGCAAGTCAAGATTATCCCGAGTTTGACTGACGCGTGAAAAACAGTTTCATTTTTAAGCAGGTAAGGTGTAGACCCATATAAAGCCGGAATATGTAAAGGAAACTCAGCGAAAACTTTTTCGCATCTTTGTGGCGATATTCTCTCGCAGCCTGTCAACTGATTAGGGGTTGTGAAGAAAAAATACATTAGGAACAAAGGTTAAAGCCTGTCCGGTTACATCATTTCACATGTTACCTAGAGTTCTAATAAACAGGTCATAAAATAGGATTTAACGAGAGCGAATTTGTTTCTCAATCGGTGTATAGAAAAGTGAAGCTATCAAATGAGAAGTTTATGAAGTATCAAAATTTTAAAATTAAAAGGCCATATAATTAGGAAAATTCCTATACGAAAACAATGCTAGTGACATTAAATTGATCTGATAAAATTCTCAGAAAATATGTCAAATGAAAGCCTCATTGTTTGCTTTTGTTTTTGCGTAAAGGTAAATTTTTCGGCCCACAAAGCAAAGTTGAAAAAGCGACTAAATCTTAGTTTTTTACATTGAACATGTTTATTAGCTTAGTTTTCGTCCGTTTTAAAAGCTTTATAACCCAATAATAATTTTCGGGTTAAAATAGTAAATAATCATTTCAGAAACCATGTTCATTTAAAGAAGAGCCGGCAAACGTGAATATTTTGTAATTCAAACATCGGACCCAGCGAGGTTGTTTAAGCTTAGAATTTTTTTGCATTTTAGCGTCCTATAAATTTACCAGAATCGCCTCTCAGAGGCTTACTGTAGTAAAGCATTTTGTAGTACACTCGTAGACAAGCAATGTAAGGCATAAGTCGTCGCTTGGATGAGACATCCCAAAGAAAAATTACTTTTGTGGACCTAAACGCACATTCACAGACTGCTTATTGAGTTGTTTACAACTTTGCATTGACACCTGCAGCAGGTTCATCTTTTTAAAGCGAAATCCAAATCTGATTTTGGCATTTGATTTACGGATATTTTATTTTGTCTCCAAAAGTGATTTTAATATCCGTTTGATTGTCTTTCAAACAACAGTCAAACTATGCAGCAAAAATAAGTAACCTCACCAGTGTACTGAAAAAATATAATGACCTACGAGGAAAAATCTTTCACCTGATGTACAATATGACAAGTAAATTTATATACTAGGATTT